CAGTGACCAGAGGGGCGAGGGGAGGGAATTTCAGGGGAAAAAGGGGAAGGATTTACAGGAACTAGTGTAAAGGACACATGGACAACAGCTCAGGGGGGTGGAAATGGGAGGGAGGTGGGGAGCACTGGGGGGGGGCTGGGATGGGAATAAAAGACAGAAAACTGTACTTGAACAATAATTAAATTAAAAAAAAACCCCACAGACCTGCTTTTCCATAGCGAGAGTGGAGGTGGTGCTTGTAGAAGAGGGTTCTCGCCTCCGTTTAGAGAAGGTGCTCTCTTCCCTGCTGGGTGTCCCCAGTCCCCAGCCCCCAGCCCTCCCCCGCCCCTCCGCCGCCCCCAGGAGCCTTCTCTGTTGCCTTAGGAAGAGCTAGGTAGACTTTCGATATAAATATTTTCTCTTTTTTCCCCTTTCCTTTTTTAGTTGTATTTTTATTTCCATTACCATTTATTCCCTTCTTACTCCCCTCCCCCACTCTCCCACAATCACCACACTGTTGTCCACGTCTATGAGTCCTTTTTCCTCTTTGCTCCATTCTTTCACCCTCTACCCCACCCTTTGCTGTCCTCCAGCTCCTGTCTATGAGTCTTTCTCTATTTTGCTTGTTCATTAGATTCATTCCGTATGAGTGAAATCATATGGTATTTGTCCTTCTCTGACTGGCTTAATGTCACTTAAGCATGATATTCTCCAGGTCCATCTGTACTGTTACAAAGGGTAAATTTTTCTTCTTTTTTGTGGCCAAATATCACTCCATTGTGTAAATGTCCCATGTTTGTTTTATCTGCTCATCTACTGATGGGCACCTGGGCTGCTTCCATATCTTGGCGATTGACAGTAACATTGCAATGAACGTAGAAGTGCTTAATTTCAAGGATGAGTTTCTGACCTAGTGGTAGGGATTCTTTATGTGTTTTCAGTGAAACCCTCTTGTCCAGTCATCCCTGTCTTTAAGTAGGAAACGTTTCTCCTTAAAGGAAGGTGGGGAGGTTGGCTTCCCCACACTGAAGTGGAAAGGGGGTTCTGCTTTAGGAGAAGATGCCTTCCCTTCAGGGTGTGAAATTGGGAGGAGCACAAATAAGCAGATATTAGTATTTCTCTTGAATTTGTGTTTTGGGAAATACGGTTTCTGAGCTTTTCAGGAAGAGCTTCCATTTTCGTAAACCACAGCTCGGCTTTCAGGAAAAAACATTGCCCTTAAGTACCTTTTCATAATTCGTCAGCAGCTCATCATTGAATAAAATGGGCAGTTTGTGACCACGCCAGCTTCATGCATCAAATGTCCTTGGTTAAAGCGGCAGTAGGAAGAAGGAAGTGAGCGGATTTAAAGAAACGGTTTAGGGTTGGGAAGTGGTAGGAGAGGACATGGAAAACGTTTCATTCCACTCTAGCAGGCAGCGAGCCTTTCACGCTCGTGTCCCCATCATTTCTGACCGTCAGCCCAAAGGCTGTGTTAGCTAGGATTCTTCTCTGACCACAGAGCACAAAGATGACCGGAGTATCTCCTCAGTCCTCCCACGGGTGTTAATGTCCAGAAGTGTGAAGTCTGGGGCTTTTCTCTGCTTGCAGCTACCACATTTGCCTGTGGTGGTTTCACCGATACTGGTGGAGGACGAGAGAGCCCTGGTCAGAGCCAGAGGACCCTGCTGGTCACAGCAATGGAGCATCACTTCCCAGTCCCAGTTCCTCTAGGTGATGCCCTACAGAGTGTGATGGGAGAGCAGCCCAGAGGTTTATATGATGGACAGTAAAACCCGCCCTTTGCTGCAGGAGAAGACAGAGGCTGTTTCCTCTACAAACATCCTTGAAAAGATCGTGCAGAACAAAGGCAGCCCATGGCTCTGCTTATAGTTTATGCAGAAACACAGAGACCCATGGAGAATTGGCTCTCAGCACATCGTGGCAGAACCCTTCTAGGTGTGCAGGAGAGATGCTCATTGACTACGTGGGCCTTAGGGCTTAACTGTCTCCTGGGGCCCAGGCTGAGAAAACTCTTACCCCTCTGCAGTGGGCGACCATTTCCAAAATATCTGCTATTCCTCCAAAAGGCTTTAAATCAAAGAAGAGAAATAAATATAATATCAGAATTCTCTTAGTAAAAGTAATATTTTCCTCTATTGCTTTTTGAGAAAAATGTATTGTTTAAAAATTAAATTGTTAAAAAATTTTCAATACTTATTACCACACATGCACACGCACACACGCCAAAAGAAAAACCACAACAAACAAAGAAGCCAACAAACAACCTATCCAAATTCTGGAAGGAGAAGATGGTGTATGTAAAGAGGTTTATGTTTATGATTGTTTAGCTTCAAACAGTACAGACAATTTGGTTTTGGGAGACGCCTGTGAAATACACCATCATCCAACCTCTACTGGCTAAATGTGAGAATTCCTTTTTAGGTCTGGAATGTATTAATTAACCAGTTTTTGCCTCATTGCTTTTCTCCCCAGTGGAAAAGCCTGTGCAGGTTTCTTTTATCCAAGCAGCTACTCTGTTCTGTTTCCTAAACTTTGTTTTGCTCTGTGGGTATCCTTTTTCATAGAACTCCAGCAATCCAGGGATTTCTTATGCCTCATCTCCAGAGACAACTTCCAGACTTGCATTTCGCTCCCTCTTACGCCTATTCCAGCCGCAGGGTTTGTGGCCACACGGAATTCTGACACCTGCAGAAGTGCCCGTGGAGGCTTCTGAGATCCTGTGGGGAAAACAAACCCAGGGGCTCACCTGCGGAGATTCAGGTCCAGGTGGGAACCGGTTGGTTAGTGTTGGGCTGTGTAACACACCAATACACTGAGTGACAAGAAAAAGATCGCAGAAAACAAACAGGAAGGTGAAGGTTGAGAACTTGACGCTGGAAGGGGGCTGCCGACTCTGGGTTCTGCTTTGGGACCGGGCGGAGAGAACCCCGCAGGCCCTCACCTTCTGCAGCGGCCCTTCCCACAGCTCTTCCACGGTCCCAAAGTGGTGTTTTCCTTTTATAAAAGAACAAAAGCACTTAAAAAAAGATGTGAGGTTTAAGTGGATAATAGCTATAGAATTCATGATGTAAATTTTTAAAGAGCCTTGTAAATACACTGAACGGGTACTTTATCTTCACCCCGTCTCCGTCCTCCCCTCTGTGCAGCTGGGTGGCCGTCACTCGATCGCCCGACTCTTAGTGACTGGAGCTGCTGGGGGTTTGGGGCACTGTTGCCCTTCCACCGTGGCCACTGTCCCGGCGCCTTGGATAACTGCTGGGAGGGAAGATGGTGATTGGCTAACGGTGGTCCTAAATTCTTCGTCCGAGCTTCCCTCATCCCTTCCTCCCCCTTCCTGATTAGATACCCTTTAAGGTTCATTTTTGGATCAAGATTGGAGTAATTTTTGCTGCTGGGGACAAAGATCACTTTGAGATTTATGGGTTTCTTGGCTGCGTTTTATGACTTCCAAATGAACGGCTGGATGGTGGGTTGTAAATAAGTTGCTCAAAGACTAATGTTTTTTAAAAGCGCACCCCCCACCCCCTTTCTTGATGAAAGGGTGGGGAACCTTCTATGTACTAAATCTCTCTTGTGTCAGTAGTGTGACATCTCAGGCACCTGATTTATAAAGTCCAGCTCCAGTGAGAGCACATCCAAACTCGTTGCTCGGTTGTTGGTTGAGGAGGGAGACCGTGTGCCCGGCGCTCCCCCTGGCCCCGTGAGGTCCACTGAAAGAATCCAAGCCTGGGTCTTGCCCCAGAGGCAGGAGAACCATCTCAAACTGTCCCAGGACAACTCATGTCACCCTGCCCCTCTCCTTACTGGCGAGGCCGGCCTTCAGGGAGGGTCTGTGACTTAGAGGCCAGAGGAGAGGTATTGGGACAGGCCGGCCTGGAGCCGAGCTGGGCAAGGGGCAGATTGGAGCCGGCAGAGCGGTGGGACTCTCTGCCGAGTATGCAGAGAACCCCGGAAAACAGTGGAGGGCAGACAGGAGGTCTGCTAGGGCAAAGGAGCCCCTGGAGGGGCGGTGGGGGGCACGCTGGTTCTGGGGGAGGCAGGTTGGGTAAACCGGGGCTCGGTGGGCTGAATGTGGCTGATTGAGCCAGTAGAGTCGGAGGAACGGGCTGGGGGTGAACCAGGAGACCACGGAGGTAAGAGACGTGGAGCAGTGGAGAGGGAGGAGCTGAGGATGAGGAGGAGGTAGACACGGAGGCAGCCTGGGAACTCTGACGTAAACAACAGACAGCGCGTGGTGTTAGTTCTGCGAGAGGAGAGAGAATCAAAGGTTAGGCTCAGGGATGTGGAAGGACAGCCAGGTAGCCGCTCACGGAAACTGGTTTTGGCCGGAGAGGGGCGTCTGCGGGGAAGAGCATCCGAGTGCAGCGGACCCTGAGCAACCCGTGCTGAACGTGTGACGGGGTGGAACGCGGTCCTTTTGGCTCCGGGCTTCTAAAGGGAGCATCACAGGCCTCCTGTCGGGGGGTCTCTGGACAACCACGTGATTCAGGCCAGCGCCTGAACATTGTTGTTCTCTCCTTTAAAGTCTAGTCTGCTCCTCTCTAGAGGAGTCTCCATTCCAGGTGGCAATTTTTTTTTCCTTGAGTTGCTATGTGTACGTGACCAGGTAAGACAGCCCCAAACATCCAAGGGCTGTGCACTGAAATTGTGGAACCATAGGTCACGGTGGTGACTGTAGGTCTGGTGCACCTTCCTTATGAACAGAAAACACGGTCACCACAATGGTCCAGGCGGCTGTTCTGTGCCCGCGAGTTCTGGTGCTCTAATGAGTGAACTCGGTGGTGCTGGGTTGCACGAGACTAGCCCTCTCCACTAACCTGGGGAAGGACCACAACACGTCTCAAGTGTGGGGTGTGGCTCTTGGGGATGTAAGAGCCTGTGGAGCGGACTCTGTCCTTCTGGTCATCGGGAGAGGTAAGGGCGCCATCGTCCTAGCTGTTTAGGATGGAGCTGCCACGTATTTGGTGTTCTGTGGCCTTTATACTATTAAATCCTGTTCTTCAAACTTCCACCCTTAGCTCAAGCCAGACCCGATCGTCGATGGTCCAGTGGCTCAACCCGCAGTCTCCGACCACACCAAGCTGCACCCAGGCTCTTACGCCGTCTTCACCCAAGTTGCCACCTTGCCTTTTCTCTCCTCCCACCACCGTAGCGGACAAGCCACCTGAAAGGTACACGGTCTGGGATCGGAGGTGGAATACGGTGGCAGCCCACGGAAGGAGCGCATCCACCTGAGCAGGTTCTTGCGCCCTCGGTTGGGAAAGGCGGGACAGTACTCACACCCTCGTCTCAGGGCCCAGCCTGGGTTCAAGTGCGTCTTAGGGGAGTTGACCGTGTCTGACACCGGCTCAGACCTACTCTTCTTGGTGCTGATGGTGCACTTTGGAGACTACTTTCATTCTGGAAGAACTTTTTAAACATACATAGAAAGCACATGCTCTGTTTTAAAGGAAGGTCAGCTGGACACTGGGAACAGCAGTGACCATTCCATGGGCCAGTGGTGCAGGGGCCAGTGGTGCCAGCTTTGACCAAGCCCCTCCTCCTGGGGGTCCGGCTGAAGCTCTTCTGCCCTCAGTGCCTTCCCCGTGATGGTGCGGCGGGGGCAGTTCTCCTGCTCTGGTCTGCATGTGGCTCATGCTCTTTCCCCACCAGGATGCATAGGACATTTACAGAAGTGCCGTACCTGCCATGACTTCGGGAGGGCAGGCGTGAGGGGGTCTAAACAAAAAGGACCCAAGTAGGAGCAGTAAGCCCCTTCTAGAAGGGCATGGAAACAGACTGTCAGTCTAAACAGTTCGGAGTCCACAGAGCATCACTTCAGGCACTTAGTGTGTACGTGCCTCTGTCTTTCACGGCCAGGTCTTCTGTCTAAGACACTGGTGCTTTTCCTCCTAGGTGAACCCGAGTGCTTAGGAACTGAACATGTCCTGAGGTTCTGATGGCACCACACACTAGGGAAGGGCGTCCCACCAGGCAGAGAGGAGAACTGGGTGAAGAGGTTCAGCAATGCTGCTCAGAGAGGGTCCCTGAGAAGGATTTGAATTTGAAGCCCATCCTTGACTTGAAAATCAAATGCTGTACCTTGGCCTAATGCTCACTTCACTTCCAGTTTCTTTCGTGGAGGTTGTCCCACCAGTGACAGAGAAATGAGACTTGGGGGGATGGGGGGTGGTGGGGAGGTGAGGTTTCTCTCTCCCAGTTTTCTCCACGTTAACTTGTGTCTTTCATGGTCCCCTCTCAGCGTCACCAGCCGGAAAGCCCGAGCGGTGTATCCTTGTGAAGCAGAACACAGCTCCGAATTATCTTTCGAAATAGGAGCGATTTTTGAGGATGGTAAGTGCTTTGTGATAGGGTAGACTGTCTACAACCCAGAAGGTGCACAGCTGGGCCAGGTGGTCACTGGTTGGGGTGTTGTCAGGAGCACAAGTCCCTTGATATATTTTGGGCAGGAGAGAGGTGGCCCATTTGGCTGCTGGGACCTGGGTGCCCACACACAGACTGTGTCTGGGAGGCCGGCCCACCATCTCTGCCTTAATCTTGGTTACTCTCCAACCTTTAGCACTCCTGCAGGTCCTCACCGAGAACACCTTTCTCCTGATGCAGGGAAGGTCATGCCACCGGAGCTGGGAGATGTTTCTGATTTGCACCCTTTCGTGTCCTGTCCCAGGGTCCCCAGCCAAGCCTCCCGGATGCTTCAGGTTGCCAATCTCAGTTACAGAAAGAGTGTTACGGTAGAAAATATTTGGTTTCTAGTCCTCTTACTCTTCCAGTGCACTATGATATTTGCTGATTTGAGTGACGTGTTACTCTTTAGATGGAGGTATCGACTTTGCACACTGAAACAAGGGTGCAGGTTTTATTCGCGCCTCATATTCATACACAAGCATTTAGGAGCTGTGCCCAGCTTGATATTTTTTTTTTTACAGATTCTCTGGTTGAGTGTATGCCCCCCCCCTTTCCTGATTTCTTTTTCTCTAGTCTGGCTCATGATGGAATTCGTTGGTTGCTGTGGAAACAGTGATGTCGTGTGTGGGTGGAGCTGCCCGAGGGAGTTCTGGGAAACAGAACCTCGGATCCTCGGGTGGGAGTGGCTGATGAGCCGGAACGTCGGGAGCACGCGGAATACGTCAACACAGTGCCTAGCAGTGTATTGTCAGTGATGTGGCGCTTGCTGCTGGTGGTTTTTTTCCAGAAAGCAAGTTGTCTTTTAGAAGAGATTTTCCTGTATGTGTGATGTGTAATTCGGAGGGACTCCCGATAGTGTCAGAAAACAAATGACAACAACAAACCCTCCACGCAACAGAATTATGCTCTGTGGAGAAATTGTACTTGTGGAGTAGCTAGAAGGCAGCACATTCCTGGGCTGCCGTGACGTGCATGTGTGCAGCTTTGCCCGGAGCATGTGGTAGCGTGGCTGCCCTGCCCCAGGCCTGTTGCGTGTTGGCAGGCCGTGTGCGGAAGGGGATGTGGAGGAGGCAGCGCCGAACCCCTTCCATCTAGACGTGATGGCGAATGTTTGTGCCACGGGGCTGAATTTGTCTGGGAGCCTCTGAAATCCCTCCCTCGGTGCTGTGTGTGAGATTTGCGCCCTGGGAGGGGGCGCATCTACTAGGATGCACTTCGCTGCGGTGACAAAACCCGATGCAGCCGGTGGCTGAGTCGTGGAGGCGATGAGGGCACACAGCAAGCATCTGGAAGGGGAGATCTCTGGGTTGGCCAGTGGACACTCCCCCAGACCACGGCATTTCCACCTCTGCCGCAGCGCCTCAGAGGGTGGGTGGCGCACTGGCCAGCTTTTTCCGTGAGCTCGAGTGGCTCTGCAGGCTTTGGGGCCACACTCAGCCCCAGCAGAAGGGACGCTTCCACCTTTTTTTTTTTTTTTTTTAAATAAGGGTGAGAAAGGTTTTCCAGAACTTCTTTCCTAGTTTACCTGCCCTCATGTCTTGATAGCCAGAATGGGGTTACAAACTACCTTGCACCCGTCACCCTCAAGGTCTTAGGCCAGTCGAGCCCCACTGGGCACAGGGACCCTCCCTGAGCCCTCAGACCCGCGGAGGAGAGTCAGGCCCTCTGTCCAGGCCAGCTCTGCCAGTGAGGGCAGGGATGGCGGTGTCTGACATTGGAGGCCGCAGGTCTCCGCCTCCACAGTCCTTAGTGACTTGCAGGGGTTCTAAAAAAGAGTGTGTGTGTCTCCTCACACAGATAAGTACATACAGCTGTGTATACATACACACACACGTGCGCGCGCGCGCACATGGATACCAGCATCTCTGTGTGTTTGGGAAGAGGAGAGGTTGATAGCAGGTAGCTCTGGATTGTCAACTCCGGAGTGGTTTTGTCTGAGATCAGACCGAGGCTCCCACTCTCTTTGTGACTCTGGACAAGGTCCGGAAGCTCTCTGTGCATCATGTCCTTCACCCTGAACCTCAAGGAGGTCCACGAGATCGATGCGTCAGGCGGCTGCCCCGTTCTCCAGGGGCTGAGCCTGGAGGGTACACAGCGGCACAGCGAATTCACGGGGAGTGTGTGCTCCGGGCATTTCGGTAAAAGTGGTTTCTCTTCCCTTTCAGTACAAACCTCGAGGGAACCTGGCTGGCTAGAAGGGACTCTGGATGGCAAGAGGGGGCTGATTCCACAGAACTATGTCAAGCTACTCTAGCGCCTGGCCTGGGAGGGCCCCACCTGCACCCGTACCCTCGGACCTCCCTGGGGGCCTAGAACTTCTCCCCCCAGGCGGACACTCTGGAATTACAGATCACGGATGGGCACTCCAGGGGTGGGGAGGGGGGATGTACTCCTAGAGGTGGGTGGGGAGGGACACACCGCCCAGGGCTGCGTGGGTCTGTGCAGCGGGAGAAGAACGTCGGGATTGACACAGTGGACTTTGCATTTGTCAAGCCCCGGGACTGGGGGCTGTTGGGTGGCAGGCCCCAGAGCGGGAGAGAGAGTGGCCTTCTGCTGGTGCGCTCCTCACCTGCGGCTGCTCTGCTGTGCGTCTGCCCGCCGGCCTGCTGCTGAGACGCTAATGGTACGTGCGTGGTGTTTGCTCTCAGCTCCAACCACGAGCTGTGGAGGGGCCACAGCCGGGGTCAGGCAGTGAATGACTTGGTCTAAGCCCACAGGTGCTCCTGCCCACGTGGCCTCCACCGGGCCCCCTGTGCACTGTCCCCCGAGAACACCGTCCTATTTATAACAGGCCTCTGCTCGGTGTTTCTCATCTGTCTGCTCTTTCCCAGTCACCGCCTTTCTGCCCCACGGTCTCTGTAAGTGAAATAAAATATAATTTACTACGTGATGTGTGTCCTAATGTGGGGAGATGGTGGAATCGCTTCCCTCTGAAATGTGTTAGGATTTGCCAGCCGAGGGTGGAGGCATGTCTTCTGCTGCTGTCTGGGGCCCAGGCTCACAGGTGGAGCTCCTTACCGGGAGCTGAGTTTACCTGCCGCTGCCACCTGTGTTCCTGGGTGGGGGCAGCCTGAGGTCCGGGAGGGCTTCCCCTGGGGCCTGCTGACCCTGGCCTGGAGCAGGGCTGGGTGCTACAGTCCCGTGGGGGCCAGCCCTCCTGACTGCAGGACTCTGTCCCCATCCTCACCCCCTCCCCTGTCTCACTCCCGCACCCCCACCCCGACTCCCTACTCACCTTTGTTATTCAGGTCTCGGCACTGAAATCTCTTCTTCTGGGTTAAGGTGGGTTTCACGGCAGCAGGCCAGGTGTTCAGACTGGTCTCGGAGGAGCCTTGGCCGTGACCCTGCCTGCGGTGGCACCAGGGGTGCTCCCTCGTCCCCGATCTGGACCCTCTGGGGTGCAGAGTTCACTTTTAGGGGTCTGCTCTGGGCCTTGTGTGTTTCTCTTCCCCACAGGAGGAGCCTGGCAGACTTCTTGCCAAAGAACGTCACAGGAAGAATGTGTCTGTCACCCCTTTGCCCAGATGATTTGGTTCCAGAGCTCACTGGTGACCAGGTGTGAAGTCACCTCACCTGGACCTGCAGCGTGTCAGGTGTGGGTCAGGTAGGTACGGAGGAACGGGCCTGCTGCAAGGTGTCCATGTTTTCCATACAAATAAGGATGGTCTCAGTGCAGCGTAGCTGGTAATACGGGACTGTGGGCCCTTAGAGGAGCCCAGGGCCGCATGACAAGAGCCAGCGCTGTACCTTGGGCCAGCCGGGCGGGGGGTGTGGGTGGCATAACCCCCAGTGTCCTGTTATCTGAGGTGTCACTGCCTTCCAATGCTGGCTGCTTATGGATGTAAAAGGGGAACATCAACTTGGATCCTGTTCCTGCCTCTTAAAACAAGGATGCCCTGAGGTTTCCATTGAAATGCAAGTATCATGTCTGGGACGGAGTACACGCTCAGCTAATGGGGCTGCTGGTCCCTGTGTTGGTGGGACTCAGAGTGGAGTGTCCCTTGCATCTGTGTTCTGGAGGATGGCAGTGTGGTGGTAGGGAGGCCGAGAAGGCTGGCTGCAAGGGCTGTTGCCACCCCTTCCCAAGGTTTTCCCAGAGAAGGACAGGGTAGCCCCGGGGTGTTTTCTGTGAACAGGGTGGTGCGGCCTGGCTCACCGGGGTCTTCAGGTGGGGAGCCTTCCAGGGCCTGGCCCAGGTAGACTTAGTAGTGGGATCACAAGGTGTTGTTCTCTTGCATTGGCGTTTCACCTTCATTTCCCCAGGAAAGTGAAGAGGGGTGTTGCTTGCTGTTTTTGCTGCTGCCTGGTTGTGGCTGACGGCAGGCATCTCCTGAAGGTCGTCTGAGCAACCGCCCCGCCTCACTCTGGGCTGCAGCCCTTCACCCTGCCCTGGTTCCACACCAGCTGCAGCAGCTGAGACCAGGTCTGCAGCCTGGGCTCCTTCAGAGGCATGGCAGGGGGTCGGGGCAACTGAAGACAGGTTTTGTGGTTCCTGTGTGCAGTAGGCTGGGGGCCTGCATCTGAGGGTGTCACCCAAGCGCCTGCCTTGGTGGTCTCTGCATCTATGAAGGAGGTGCTGGGTGGGGGGCTGCACCCCTTCCTGTGTCGGAGCAGAAACATCTGCACCCGAGGGTGTGTGGGGGGGTGGGCGGAGCAGTGCATTGTCTGGGCCAGTGATGGGCGTGCAACTCACTCTTTTCCTGCAGTGACGGAGTGAGTCCCGGGAGAGGAACCTGCCTCACAGAGGAGGCAGCTGGGGAGCAGGGCTCTGCGTCAGCTCAGCAGGCCCTTCACGGGCTCCTTCTGCTGCACCAGTTTGCTTCTGGAACCTTCTAGGGGATAATGGCCGTCATGGGTTGAATTGTAACTTCACTCCATCAAAATCCTCTGTGGAGTCCTAACCCCAGTACTTCGGAGTGTGACCTCATTCCTGGATAGGATTGTTGCAGATGTAGTTAGTTAAGGTACGGTCAGTATGGTTGGGCCCTACTCCAGTGACTGGTGTCCCTGTGGACAAGGGCCGTTGGGACACTGAGACAGGTACACGTAGAGGCAAGATGGCATCTGGGGGCGGAGGAGAGAGCGCTGGAGCCGGTCCAGTCCACACGGCCGTCGGGAGGAGCCGACCCTGCTGATGTCCTGTGCTCCGACTTCCAGCCTCCAAACTGTGAGACCAGTTTCTGTTGTTTAAGTCACGCCGTTCGTGGCGCCTCGGTCAGGCAGCCCCAGAAAACCAGTTCAGTGGCTAAAAGTATGCTTCCAGTTCAGAGCAGCCGGTTGAGAAGTCCTCTTTTCACTGTTCTGTGCCTCGGGGACCTTGGCCGTGTTCACGTGAGCTCTTCTGGCTTCAGTTCCCTTCCGTGAAATGGAGAGACCGCCACCTACCGCCCTGGATGCTGCGATGAGTGATAATGTCCAGTGGCAGGAGGGGCGCAGCGCAATTACGGTTTAGTAAAGGGGACGATGGGAGAGGGCAGCTGCAGGGCACGGCGTGGGGGGGGTTGGTCTGTCCCCCTTCTCCCACCCGATGCTTCTCTCCAGCCCCCCCCACCCAAAGATCATTCCTTGCCCCTTTCCTCTGCCCAGCATTGCTTGGTCTTTACCTCCCTTCCCCAGGGCACCTTTGCCTCTTTCATCTTGGCCTCGACTTTGTTGCCCATTCACCTCAGTGCTGGGTCCCTTCTCACCAGTTCTCCCCTCACTTCAGAAGGCCATCTTGGTGACGCCTTCCTCAGCCAGGTGTTTCCCGTGATTTTCTTCCCTCCCTCCTGTCAGAGGGTGTCATTCCAGGACAGTGTCTGCAAGCAGCTCACCTGCTCCTACCTCTGCCCATGTCTCCTCAGCAGCGGGTCAGCACGTTGGCCTGGCCTGGCCCACTCTCCCACGTGCGTAAGCTGGCATGGTGTCCCAACGCTTTAGTGTCTGGCTTGAAGTATTTCAGTCATCTGGTTGGAAGAATACCTTGGCGCTTTCTTTCCTATCGTAAGATCAACTTGAGTGGGAGGCAGACTTCTGCTTTTGGCCCCAGGCAGGAGACCTGGGCTTTGGGTCTCCTGGGCTTTTCGGCAGCCCAGTGCCATGTGTTAGTGTCTGGACTGCTCCTTCCTCAGAGGGTTTAGCTACTTGGAGCAGGAGGAACATGGTGTGACCCAGTCATGAGGAGCCATGACCCTCTCTGGCCAGGCTGGAATAAAGATCTCAACAAATGGGTTCTTCTGACCATGACAATTTAGAAACCACTGTCTTGGCAACGCAAATTCTACGAAGAAAATATCCGAGTAATTGCTAGTGGTAGATTGACTTGCTGACCTAAATTTCATTCCTCCCTAACCCATGCATGCCCCTTGTGCGGAATCCTCCCAGGCTGACCATAAGCTGGGCCTTGTAATGTGCTTTGGCCAATGAGACAGGAGCAAAGTCAGTGCTATGGGAGACTTCAGAATTGTTAGGCTCTTCCCGTCTTTCCTTGAGCCCCGCTGCTCCCGTGAGTTTGCCCCGGCTGGCCCACTGTGCGGGCTGAGACGCCACGTGGAGCAAAGCCATCCTAGACCAGGTGGCTGCTGGCTGACCACAGGTGCGGGAACACGCCTGACTCAGCCCAGCCAGGCCCAGGTCAGCAGAACCCTCCTAGCTGACCTAAACTCAAAAGACATAAATGAAATGAAGGTTGATTTAAACCACTGCGGGTTTGCTGTGGGGGAGGGCAGGTTGTGGCTAACCCTGCTACTCTGCCCATGTTTGCTCTTGATTCAGCCTTGGTGCATGCTCATCAGTATGGTCACATCTTAATCTTCTCTTATGCTACGGTGTTTGGGAAGCCACTTTTATTTCTAAGAAAAATACACTGGCAGTTGGATGACTGGAAATGGAGGTGTCAGAGGTACTTACAATCAAGTCATTTAGTCTGTGAGAAGTATGTTGGAAGAAAAAAGTATGTTGGAGCTGACTAACTTAAAAGGATAGTATTGTCTGTTTGCCTGAGGGACACTGAACATACAGGAAGGCAAACCCACCCCTGCCTACGTACACTTCCTGAGGCACATTTCAGCTGCTTCGGCTTAACAGTGGTTGGCTGTGCGAGGGGCTGAGACTTAGTTCGTAGCTGATTCCTAGATGTGCAGCTGCATTCTCTGGGCCCGAGGGTGCTCTTAGAAATTCTTGGGCATACTCGACCTAAGACCGAGCCTGCTCTGTTCATAAATGGCACCCACTTTGATCAAGGGCGCCAACTGGTGTGGCCTCTCGCTAGCTTATGGCAGGCCCATGACCTAAGATGGCTTTTGTTTAAAGTTGGGGGCTCTGTTCCCTAACAGGTCAAATTCCATAAGTTTTAAGATACAAAATTACCTTCATTTATAGATGTTTTATAAACAACTGTTCTACTTACAGAAGTCTAGCCTTTCCAATACATTTTTGTCCTGTGCTGTTTTAATGGCTTCAGAGGTGTTCCAGAAACACAACTATCATGTGTACGCAAAGGCGAATTTGTTGTACTCTCAAGTAGTCCTCTCCTTCTGGAAGCCAATGGTTTGAGTCATCACCAGTTGAATGACAGATTCAAAAAGCACAGCCATGCACTATGTAATGCCCTTTAGGCCAATGACGGACCCTGTCAATGGCGGTGGGCCACAGTGTTGTAAAGGAGCTGAAAAATACCTACTACCCAGTGACGTCGTAGCCATGGCAACGTCATGTCACGGATTAGTCACTTGGCTGTGGTGATGCTGGTGTTTTTACACAAACCTGTCAGCAGTGTGAGAGCACAGCACTTCCAGTCTGTACAGTGCGTAGTACGTGAGAATAAATGTGTATATTGTGGGTTTGTGTATTTATGGTACTGCACCTTCATTGTTAATTTACAGTGTGCTCTTTCTACTTCTTCCAGCCCTGCAAGCTCCACTCATGGTAAGTGGCCCAAATGGTGTATTGTGTTTTTCAACTTGTACACTGTGTTTTTACCGCACCTTTCCTATGTGTGGATGCGCAGAACTTAGCACTGCGTTGCAGGTGTCTAGTATTCGGTGTTGTGACAAGCAGCTCAGGTTGGCAGCCTTGGAGTGACAGGTGTGGGTGTGTGCTGGGCCACAGCATTGAGGTCTGTGGAAGTGGACTCAGTGACGGTCCCATCACCGTGAAATTGCCACATGATGCATCTCTCCGATGTGCGTGAATTGTATCTTGTGGGAAAACCTGTTTTCTAATTTTAAAGTGAGATGATAATTGCTTACTGCTCTTTTGTGGTTCATATCCATGAGCGGAATCGAAAGGAGTGGTCTGTAAGGAGGGCAAGGAACAGGACTCCAGGGGAGAGAACTAGACAAGCGGCATTGGAGGGAGTTGGACGGGGTCGTCTGGTCTACTCACGTGAGTCCTTAAGTCTGTAAAATGAACAAACTTCCATGTAGTTGTGCAAATAAAGGAGGCAGTTACATAGATACAGTGTTTAGCACCTATGGGGTAACAGTTACTGTTATTAAATGTTTACAGGATATTTTCATGGACCAAATATTAATAACAAGAAATGCATCTCATTTGTCCCCAGAGTGTAATTGACATGTGGCTAGCACAGGTTTCTTTCTAGTGTGGTGAGAAAAAAAAATGCAAAAAACTGTGTTTCAGAGGTAGGCAGAAGCACACATGACGAAGATTGGAAGGGCACGAAATCCAGGTGTTCCTATAGATGTTCAAATGAACTGTTTCCAAAACAACAGGTGATTAAAGTAAAGGATTTATTGTAATCTGCTTACAGTCCTTTGCAAAGACAGACATATGTTTTTGCATAAAGATATAAATTGCTTCATTTTAAACTAATTTAGTGTGTTTTTTAATTATATGAAGTTCTGGTGAATTATGAATTGTACCAAACCAAGATTTTTGAGAGAAATATGGTACAAAAAAATAAGAGCAGACAGACAATTTGGACTGGGACAGGCATTCAACAGCGAGTTTAGAATATGGCTTTGCTGTTTAATCAAGCAAAGTTTCCTGGAGAGACACACAGAGCCAGTAACTTTGTTAATAGAAAAAGCTGATGCAGACCGTCTCCGCCCCAAACCCGGTTACGTCGACATTCTGATTTCGTAAAACGCACGTCTGAGCGAGAAGCTGATCACATACGCCTTTTTCTCCTCTAGAAACTCCCAGTCTGCGTGCTGTGTATTTATAGCCTTCCGAGTCCGGCGTTCCTAGTGCTGTGCATGTAAGTAAGTTAGCTGTATTTAAAGACCTGCCTATAAATTAAATTCCTGAAATTGCAAATTAGGTAAGAAAGACTCCCTCTGAGTGCACCTTTGACAGGTTTCCCCGGGCACAGGGCTGGTGCCTTTGGAAAGACAAGGTCACGGTGCCTGCGTGGGGAGCCCTGCAGGAAAGCGGTGCTGCCTTCTCCTGGCCGTGGGTTTCCCCAGCTCTAGCTTTTAGGTTTTGGGAATTAATGCAGTTTCACTGAGTATGTGATGAGGATCATCACTTTTGAAAGGTTAATTTGGCCTCTCTTCAAAGTAGTTGATTTAGTGCGATCCTATTGTTACACTCCCACAAAGAGAAGTGTTGCGATTTGGGGCAGAGAAAAGCCATAAACTGCCTCAGTGCCAAACAGATTAAGGAATTACAAATTTTAGTGCCACTGTCTTGCTTATTATATCATCTGTAGTTCTTCCCCTCCCCCCACAAAACTGTTCCTGTATAAAATTTATTGTTAAAACCTACCTTTTAAAAATGTAAAAACCCTCTAACGATTGTGCGGTCTCCACGCCGCCCTTCTGCCTGCGCCGATGCGCCTCGTCCCAGAGTGTCCTGCAAAAGCCCGTGTGTTCCCGAGGCCGGGTCTGGGAGCAGCCAGCCCCTCCCCTGAGACCAGCTGGGAGCATGTCACCTTTCACAGACATAGGGAGTGCCTGGAATTTTTTCCCCCAAAGGAGGAAATTCCATTTTTCTGAAATGGGATGGGACTGTCTATGCTCGCCGAGCCCCTGTGTTTCCAGTCTCCACTTGCCTACAGCTGATGCTGCTTCTGGAGGAAGAGGCAGCTGTCCGAGAGCTGCGCGCTCCTGGGGCCTCCTCCCAAGCGTGTGTCGTGGGGGCGCCCAGACACCGCAGTGAGCGGTTCCCCGACAGCAGCAGGGCCAAGCGGGAGCTGGAACCCACGCTCAAGTCCCTCGAACACCCCGCGCGGGAGACCGAGGACAAAACAAATGTACAGGAAAAGTAGAAAGGCTTGAAGACAACCCAGGAGGTTCCCATGTGGTTATTTACAACGGGGACTGTAAAATGATAAATCAGATATGAAGCTAAAAAAGGCACAGCTTTCCCTTTCTTAAATACACTGTAAACGGTTCATTAGGCATGCAGAACGTTTCACTTTACAAAAAGAATTTTTTTACCTTGTTTAGACAAAGATAGTACTTAAATAGTCTCCAGCAAAATAGAATTCTTTCAAAAATACTTCCCATTCTTCCTATTAACCACTGTTTTTTTTTCTCATTTACAAAAGTTCCTTATACCTTATATAACTCAGGTCCTTCACAATTTATACATACAGTAATGTACAGCACAGCAAAAAGACTGCAAAAAAATTATTTGTAAAGCCAACACAATAGATACTAGAAATTGAAACCAAGGCATTTAACATCTTATCCATCCTAATTAACAAACAGATCTAAAGGTGCGGATGCCCGTGATGCAGAGGAACGTGGGCGAATGCCAGCCAGAGGGGGCGCTGTTCCACACCTCGTGCTCTGTTATTACACAGCAAAAATCTGTATAGATTTTTTTCTTTTTTGTGTTTTTTAAATAACAAAAGAATATTAATGCCCCATATAGACTATACGTTTTATGTGCAAACCAAGGGTAAGCTTTAAAAAGTTCGTTAGTCCTTGAACCCTTTTAAAACAAGCAAACGATACCAGAAACTACATGGCATAGTTAAAACTTCCGTCTGTTAAAATATCAAAATCAGAGAGTTATTGACTAGATATGGCTTTTCATCCAGAGGATCGGGAACGTGTTTCTAAGCGCGGGGGACCGGAGAGGGAAGAGTCCTGTCCTTTCGGCCGTCTGGGTCTCGCCAAATCCACATCAAAGTGCTTTCCCAGCTCCAAACCCCTGACATGACTTTACCGTGAGAAACTGCTGAGTGAGTGAATCAACCATCCCATGTTAAAAACATGATTTCTTGGGTCCTTCGCGGGTGTCGACTAACACAGGGAAACTTAAGGCAAAGTTCTTCTGCTGGGTCGGGCCCGTCACTTCCTGTGGAAGTAGAGGGTCTTGGCGTTCCCGGATTCCACCTTTGGCAGCTGGTCGCTGATGATCTCCACGAGCATCGCGGGGAACTCCACTTTCAGGGCCTGGGACTCTCGGAAGGTGTAGAAGCAAAACTCCAGCAAGTCGCTCCCCAGCTGCAACACAGACAGAGAGGGGGCGTGACACGGAGGCCTGTCCCGGGAGCGCTTGGCCTCACAGCTCTCGTCTCGGTTCAGAGAGCAGCGTTCAGAAACCTGGCCAGGAAGTCACGTCTGGGACACCATCTGATGAGTGAGTAATCTGTCCTGGGGGAGGGAGAAGGGTGCTCACCCTTCATGCGATAAGCCTTTCACGCAAAACAGACCCAGCCAAGGGCTGTGTCACTGCTGAGGGTGAAACCACAGTGACAATGGGGCCAGTGACCGGGTCCCTGGATTGCTCTGTCAGATTCTTCCACACGCGTCAACTGGGTGCAGTGAGCGTGTGCACACACCTTTGGGTATTGGGGATGGGCCTTCCGAGGGTATAGAGTGAGCTGGGGTTGGAGGGGCTGGGGCCAGCCCAGAGCCCGCCCAGAAGATGCCCCGGACAGTGAGGGGCGAGACAGAGCTCCTCTGCTGGCGGGGCCGTGCCTCCTGTGGGCCTCGCCCCGCCAGCACGTCCGCCGCCAGCCCTCCCGCCCCGTCCCGGTGGCTCATCAGACTCCTCATTGATTTTTCCCTGGCTTCATTGAGACAGTCGGGTTTAATCAGCATATAGCATTATATAATCGGCACCTAAGTTTTAAGTTGTACAGCGGTTGATTAGATATACTCACATACTGCGAAACGATTAGCTAGCTAACACCTGCGTCACCTCACATAATTACCGTTTCTTTTTTTGTGGCGAAAAGAGTACTTCAGATGTGCTCAGGAACTTTCACATCAGTGCAGCAGTACTAGCTATGACCACCGTGTTGTGCCTTAGGCCCCGGGATTTACTCTTACTAGAAACCTCTGTGCTTTGCCTGGCCTGTCCCCAGTCTGCCCTGTTGCTGCGAATGTGGGTTTTCAGGTGTCACACGTGAGGTCATCCGTGCTTGCCTTTCTCCCTCTGACTCCGCTCACTCAGCAAGCCTGTCCCCAGGGCCCGTCCACGTTGTCGCGGTGGTGGGACTCCTCCCCGCCACGGGGGGGGGACGACCCTCCATGGTGTGGGTGGCTACGTCCTGATGTGCCCACCCGCTCCCCTCCCCTCTCCACTGCAGGCTGACTGTGAGAGAACGAGGGGGGTGCCAAGGACGACTCTGCCGTCTCCTCGCCTGTCCATCCATCCTCCCTGCTGACCCCCTCGCCTGTCCATCCATCCTCCCTGCTGACCCCCTGGGCCCCGGGCCACCTCCAGTTTCATCAGGTAAAAGGACAGTAACCCACAAATGCAGAATGGCCTTACCGGTCTCTAGGAATATAATTTCAAATCACCAAATACACATTCTGAATTTTCTTTAGTTGACTACACTTTTGGTCATTTTCCACTGTAGTACAACTGGCAGGATTAATAGTTTGTGTTGGAAGAGTGATTCTTGTGAAGACACGTCCGTCACTATCCCTCTTAAAAACTCAGCTCTAATCGAGCAGGATCGTGAGTAACCTCATGGTGAAGGCCTTCGTTACAAAGCAGGAATGGAGACGTCGGTGGAAAGAGCTGCTTCTGCTGGTGGCTGCAGTGAGGTACCTCCCCCGGGGGGGGATCCAGGGACTGGGACGGGGCCTCTGAGAGTGTCTGCTCCCCAGGGGTGCAGACTGAGCGCACTGGCGAGGCGGGCGTGCATGCATCAGGCCCAGGAGCGCTGCGAGGGTGGGGCCCTGGGGTGCTCTCCTCCCTGTGGCCCCGGGATCCTTCCGTGAGGTTTCTCAGAGGGACCGAGCCTGCCGAGTCATCTTCCTGGAACTCGGCCCTCAGGCCCCCCTTCTATCAAGTGAGGGATGGCAGAATTTGTTTTCTGCGCTCCCCAGATAAAGGATTCTTAAAATAGAATTGCGGATGGTAGGCTTTTTTTTTTAAGGTGCTGGGCCAGTGGCTGTGAAGCTAAAAGCCCCACTGGGCCCTACTCTTCTGGCGTGTGCCGCGCCCTTTGGTGCAGAGCCGTGCGGCCGGGGGTGGGTGAGTGTGGGGTCGTTGGGCGGGCCCCTGTGTGAGCAGACCTGCTGATGTCTAACCCAGGTCACCTGGCAGGGCCGGGGCCACTTAAGGGACTGTGTTCATAAACAGGAGGCAGCAGCGGTGATGCATGTGTGGTAGCAGACGCAGAGCGAATCCGTTCGTGACCATGAGGCCACCTCTGTGAACCTGCTTTTGGGGACAGGGCCCAGGCCTTCCCAGTGCCTCTGTCCCTGTAACTCCCTCATGCATGTGTTCTGGGCACTGAGCATCACCTAGGAGACAATCGGGGGCTCAGCTGTTTTTCCTCACAGGTTGGATGGGGACAAGTGTCCTGGACACCACTCATGCATGTCAGCCCAGGACTGGCATTTCCGCCCACCTGTGTCCTGTCTTCCGCAGGCCGAGAAAGCAGCTCGTTTCCAGCCATAAGCTGATACCCAGAGCTTCTGTTTACGTAAGCGCCTTGGCCAGAGGGATGGGCGCCTTGGCCAGGCTACGTCTCTGACCCTGGGAACACCTGTGGCTAGGACGGAGATGGTGCTGGCTGCTTCAGAAGCCTGCTGGGCCCACTGGCCCCTGGGACAAGGCTGAAAATCTTTTCAGAACTCCACCAGCAGGTTCTGAGCCAGTGACTGCAGTTGCCAAGGCCAGGGATCACCTGTGACAAGCAAGGCCAGGTGTCCCAGGTGTTTGAGGGCGGAGTCTACAGGACGAGGAAGGACCCCGGCCCCACAGGAAAGCACAGGCCAGGAAGGAGAAGCTGCAGGTGGGCGCCGGCCTGTGAGTCCGACAGCTGTGTCACGGCCAAGTGTCTGACCCCCATGCTGCACACGGGCACGGCTGCCTCCGAGGTGTCAGCCTGGTGCGAAGCTGCGGTACACACGGCGGGACTGGAAACCAGGGCACAAACAGGTGCAGTGCACATGTCCTGACCGACACCATCCCCAACCCCTCAGGCAGCATGGCCACTGGGGTGGGCAGCATAAGGCCAGGCTGTGCCTCACTGAATGACCACGGAGGGTTTCTACCTGCCCCCCCAAACCGCTATTCTGCCCCCAGCAAAGTCAGAGGCCACCTTTGAAAGGAAATCACCTCAGGTCAACTCTGCATGGGCAGCCCTCCAGGGAGAGTCAGTGAGTTTTCCTGGACACTCACTGGGCATGAAGTGGTTTTCAAAATTGTCCTTCAAAGGGTGTGAGTATTGGCTCATTCTGCATGTTCCCCTGGTTCTTTCATGACCCGCCCCCCCCCCCAAGTTACCCTGCTCGCAGGAGCACCAGCCTGAGGACCCCTGTTCCCCCCCTGAAGTCATAGATGCTGTATTTTGTCTTTCTGATTTAATTGTCAGCCAAACAGCCAGGGGACACTGCTCCTCTTTCTTTCTGACATTCCCATCTCTGATCCGTGTAACTCTCCCCTTTGCAGCTGCTCAGGTGGCCTGCAGGCCCCCTGAGGACAGGAAGCGCCATGCGTCCCCTTCTCTCTCAGCTGCCCCAGTAAGACGATAAGACGATCAGCCCATGCTCCTGCCTTTCTCTTGAACTCTTAGGTGGCCAGGAAGAGCTTCCTCCAACAGCATTTTTTCAGGGCAGTGTGTTCCTCATCTTAATCAAGGGAGCAAAACAAAACCTGGTTAGTGTTAACTCAAGTGATTGTGTGGATGACAATATCATCCATGCAAAGTAATGGTCGATTTTAGTCCGGAAGCACTGCCACTGTTGGGTGACGTGGGCATCTTCATTTTAGTGATGCTGAGTAAGTAATTCAGAGCTCAGTGTGGGGAAGCTAGCCCTTTCTCCCATCTTTCCCTTCAACTTGTTTACATTGGGTTTTAACCGGACTTCGTACGCACGCCCTGTGGTGGGCGCCCTGAGCCCCACCCCTGCTGTCTGTGGTCAGAGGCACGGGGTGGGGAGGAGGTCGCGGCTCCAAAGATAGAGCCCTGTCCTGCTGGCCTGTCCCACAGATGCCTTACTTTTAAGCAACGAGACAGAGCCAGGCCTGCCTTCTCCATGTTGATTCCTGCTGGCCTTTCCTGGTAGTAGCACCAGGCTCAAAGGAGAGGCAAGAACCCGAATTATAATCAGTGGTGAGAGTCCTACTCTGTTAGGAATCAGAAAAAGTCACGTGTAGTGACTTTGTTCTGCACGCAGAAGCTCTGCTGGAGGCTCAGCCGCACCGAAGGCACCTAGTGGGCTCTGCCAGTGCCTTTCTCCCGTTCTCTGTACGAGTCACCACGGCCTGCACGTGGCTGCTCCCCCGGCCCCACTCTGCCCCGGTGCTGCTGTTCCAAGGCTACAGGACCACCCCGCATGGCTCCCTGATGCAGGGTTCCACCCGTCTCCAACAGTGTGCTCATTCCCCCTCAGTTATCTGCTGGCTCCAGAGCTCTTACCTAATTAGGACCAAGCTTTTTGCTGGAAAAAAACCTTGCGTGGAGGTTGGAAGCTTAATTTCCAAAGATGAGAATTTTAGCCAGCTGAGGAGATGGGGCTAGGGGGAGAGAGGCAGCCCTTCATCCTGTGACACGTTCTGGGGGCTCTCGGACACTGGAAAGTGGGGTGCATTGACTTCATGGGGGTCAGTACTTCCTCCAGAACCTCCACCAGTGCAGGCCAGCGTGCAAGACGCCTGTATCGGTGAGGTGGGACATGACAGTAGCAGGGTGCAAAAGCCCCCCAATTTACTTGTAGCATTTGTTTCTACACCCAGAAGTAAATGTAACCTTTAACAACAGGGTGATGCCACCTTTCCCTGTGGATGCCCTTTGAAAACCCAGCTCACACTCTCTGCCCGGCACTCCGGAAGAGCTCTGCTTCAGAGCTGAAGGCCTCAGAGAAAGGGGCTGAAAGATACCATCAGCAGTGACGTTGGCAGAACATGGTTCATGCTTTTGTCCTCCCCCATCCAGGAATGAAACCTCCTCTGTGGGGTCCAGCACAATACTGAGGAGCTGCAAGAGGCCTGCTACTCGTGTGCCAGGAACAAGCAAACAGACCTCGGTATGAGCAGAGGGACCAGCAGAGTGCTGGCCCGGGCAGGCACCCACAGACGAGAGAGAAACTGCAGGAGTCTAGCCTTCCCAAGGGGAGAATGCCACCATGCTGTCGGAACAAAGGAGAGTCCCTCAGAATGAGATTGGATGCAGCAGAGAGGGTGAGAACTTCACCAGCACCACACTGCCCCCCCCCCCCCCCCCCCACTCCAGCAACAGTGTGGTGGTGGAACCATACCTTCCCCGGCTACGAGTGTGGGGCTGGAGAAGTCCCTCTCTCTCCAGTGCACCCAGAGTACTGAGGCAGGACCTCGATGACTGGGAGGAGGAAGAAGACTGGGAAAGAGCAGGTAAGCCTCGTGCTGACCTTGCTGAGCAGCAAGTGTACCCAGGACTGTCTGGAAGTACCACAGCTGGGGATCCCGCACTCACCTGCAGGCACACCCACCCCCACTCCATGGCTGGCTCTTTCTTGCACTTCCAAGTGTGGAGGCAAAACCAACAGCCAGTAAACTGGCCAAGGTCAATGGGCCAAGGAGAAACCACAAACTTGAGCTATAGCGCCACCTTCTGGGAAACGAGGTTTCTTTCCAGTCAGTCTGGTAAGAACCAGAAGACGTAAAAGCTTAAGAATTCTGCCACAAGAGGGAGCAACACGAGAGTAACAGGAGCACCCATACAAAGGCAGAAAAACCCCAGAAGGTCAGCACCAGTGAAGAGGATACTCAAGGAGGCGCCTGCTACTCCCGACGGGAAAGCAGCAATGCTCAACCACACAGAATGTTCAACATCAAGGAAGCATCACCATCAAAAGAGCAATTCTCTGGTATTTTGAGTTCAAAGGCACAGAACTTTGTGATCTTGCTGAGAAAGAATTTAAAATCCCTGTTTTGAAGAAACTCAATGAGCTACAAGAAGAACTAAAATACAAGTCAATGAAATCATGAAAAAGAGCCAAGCGGCGGTCAGGGGGCTGAAGAACTCAGTGAATGCAATGGTGAGCGCTACCAAAGAGTAGAGCCAGCCAGTGACACACAACCAGTGAGGACGGGACCTCATCCAAAGAACAAGTATCAGAATAATCGGGATTCCAGAAGAAGAGAAGAGGGTGTGAAGTTACAGAACTTCCCAACTTGGGAAGTGAAGTGAGCACCCAGCTCACAAAGACCTTGTCCAAAAACACATTGTAATAAAACCGTCAAACACACTACAGATGAGAGAGTCAATCCTAAAGGGAGCCTGGGGAAAAAAAGATGGCAAAGGAATCCCCATCAAGCTATCAGTGGATTTCTCAGCAGAAACCCTGTAGGCCAGGAAAGAGGGGAATCAGATACTCTAACCATTGAAAGAAAAGAAAAAAGCCAGCTAAGAATACTCTATCTAGCAAAGTTACTCTTCAGCTACAAAAGACAAATACTTTCCTAGACAAACAAAAGCTGAGACAGTTCATCACCACTAGACCTGTCTTTCAAGAAGTTCGAGCATTCTTCAAGCTGAAATGAACAGATGCTAATCATTGACATGAAAACATATAACATATTAAACAAATAGTTAGGAAACTCAAATTCTGTAATAGGATGTGTTAACCACTTAACTACAGTACAAAATTCAATGGAAAAAAGACTATTAAAAATAGCCAGAGCTACTCTAACTTCTTAAATGTACAATATAAAGAGGCAAATAATAACATCAAAGATATAAAAGGACTGTAAAGGTAGAGCTTTTATAGGTCATTGATAGAAGTTAAGTTGCTACCAGGGTAAAATGGGCTGTTTGCTGTCTTGTGTCAGCTCACGGTGATCACAAAGACAGAAGCAAAAACTGCACGTTGCCTACAAGAGACTCACTGTGGATCTGAGAATATACATAAGCAGGCCATGAAAAGTGGAGGTAAATATACTCACAAAAAAATCTACTTTAGCCCCAAAATAGTAACAATAGACAAAGAAGGTCCATATATAATGATCAAGGGGTTGATTCATCCAGAAGATGAATTCGACATAGTTAATAGAGCTGGGTGAGACAGGCAGTACAGGAGTAGGCGTGAACTGTAATACCCACCTTCCTCCAGACAGAGAACCGGCGAGGAAACACTGGACTTGTACCAGGCGTCAGTCCAAATGCCCTGCATATATAGAACAGTTCTTCCAGCAGAAGCAGAACACGCATTCTTTGCAAAACATTCTCCATGATACAAAAAACAGGACACAAAACAGTCTCAGTACATTTAAAAAAGCTATAAACCACAATGGTACGAAACTACAACGCAACAAGAGGAAAGCTGGAAAATCTATAAACACATAGAAACTAAATACACTTCTGAACAAGCAATTGGTCAAGAAGAAATCAAAAGAAAATGTCTCAAAACAACATACCAAAACCTATGGGATGCTGCAGAAGCACCTCTGAGAAGGAAGTTTATAGCAATAAATAACCTTGACTTGTCACCTCAAGGAACTAGGAAAAAAAACAAATTAAGTCCAAAGTTAGCAGAAGGAAGGAAATAAAAATCAGAGTGGGAACAAAACAAACAGATACTAGAAAAATAGAAAAAAATAAACTAAGCTGTTTTTTTCAAGAAGATAGAAAAAAAAAGAAAATCAGAAGTGAAAGAGGAGATGTTAGAACTGACACTATAGAAGTACTATGGACAGTGAGAAGCTAACAAATTGGATAACCTATAAGAAATTGATAAATTCCTAAAAATATGCCAAGACCAAATCAGGAAGAAACAGAAAATCTGAACAGAGCAATAATGAGTAAGAAGATTCCATCAGTATTCAAAAACTTACCAACACAGAAAAAACAAACCCACCCGAGGACCAGATGGCTTCACTGGTGAAATCTACCAAACATTTGAAGAAATATAACATCAGTCCTTCTCCAACTCTTCCAAACAACTGGAATAGAGGGAACATGTCCAAACTCATTCTACGAGGCCAGTATTACCCTGATACCAAAGCCAAAGAGAGCAAATTCAACTAGTGGGGATACATTAAAATGAACGTAGTACATGCAACAAAAAACAAAAGCAATGGGAGGAAATATTTGCAAACTATGTATTGCAGAAGGGGTTAATATTAGACATATACTAATAACTCACATTTCTAACATAATCCAATTAGAAATAGGCAGAAGAATGGCCCATTATTTCTATATAAGGCATACAGTGAGCCAAAAGGCACACGAAGAGATGCTCAATGCCCTTGATCGTCAGGGAAATGCAAATCAAAACCACGAAGAGAGACCACCTCATACCTGTTAGCATGGCTGCCGTCAAGATGAGAAGTAAGTGTTGGCAAGGCTATGGAGGAAAATGGAACCTTGTGCAGGGATGGTGGGCACGTAAAGTGGTTCAGCCACCATGGAAAATGACAGAGGTTCCTTAAAAAGGTAAAAATGGAAGCACCATATGATCCAGCAACTCCACTCCTAGGTTGTAGCCAAAGGAGAGGAAAATGGGACCTGGAAGGAATGCGTACACTCCGTGGTCAGTGCTCACGGTGGCCACGGTGTGGAAATGGTGACAACTGGGCAAGGAAGAGTGATGCACGCACAGTGGGGTGTTGCTCATCCAGGAGAAAGAGGGGACCCCTGCCCTTCGCAGTAACATGGACAGACTGTGAGGGCGTTATGCTGAGATAAGTCAGACAAAAAAAAAAAAAAGGACAAATACATGATATCGCTTACAGGTGGAATCTCAAAAGGACAAATGCAGAGCAGAATAGTGGCTCCCAGGGGGTGAGTCCTTGAAATCTGATGGACACCACAGTGACTACAGACAGTAACACTGTATCATAGACTTTAAAGTTGCAAAGAGACTAGATCTTAGTTCTTCCCACTACCAAAAAATGGTAATTATGTTATGTGATACAAATGTTAGCTAAATGCTACCGTGGTGATCATATTGCTAGATACTGTATAACTTAAATTTACATGCTTTTTCTGTCAATTATATCTTAATAAAAGAAAATATCTAAGAAGACTAGTTTGTAAACACTCTCCAGAAGGCATTTTACAGCCCAAAACCTAACAGGCCAGCATGCTAGTGGATCAGTAAGTTCTAGGCCTATACAAACATTTGGGGAACTCAGTGGGGTGTTCCCCACTGGGATCCCCTTTAAGAGGCTGCCCTCTTCTGCCAGGGACTGGTCTGAATGCACAGGGGGCGTCTGGATTCAAGTGTGTCCCCGAAGAAGGAGATGAGCCTCAACAGGGCTGGGTTCGCTGTGGTGTGAGCTCTGCTGCAAATTCCAGGTATGGGGAACCCTGGCGAGTGTGTGGCCAAAGCCAGGGCTCTGGGTCGGAATCGGTGCCTCTGGCTCTGTTTCCAGAAAGGCCCAGTGGCCTGAGGAGACGTGGTGCTCAGCATCTCATGAAAAACCGTGGGCCTTTCTAAAAACACTCCTGCTCTCCATCCCTTAGCATCTGATTGTTATGTGAGATGCAGTGTTTTGACTTGTTCTTCGTCACCATTTTCATAACACGTTCAAAACCAATTACTGGTCTCTAGTCAGTGACAGACGCTTCATCTTCAAAATACACTGTGGATGCTGTGCTAAGAAGCAAGATGCATTCAAGTCCCTTCTCTCTTTTTTCTGTACTTAAATGCATTTAATTTCCACACTGTTTAAGTTTCCTTGCATTAAAAGCCTCGCTCTAGAACGCAGCTCTGCCTTCTTGTGAATAAGGTCTATTGTATGTGTGAAGAACACAAAGAAAAATGACACAAAGGGCTAATGAGAACACTGCTGAACAAAGGAATTCTAATGAAAGGGTTGTGTCTGAAAGCCATTGGCATGTTACTGTATATAGAAGCATGAACTTTTCCTAATTTTGCTTTCAGTGTTTCCTAGTTCCTCCTTGCAAATGTACACTATACTGAGCAATGTAAAAATCTAAACCCTTTAAGTTACCAACTTTAATATCAAGTTTAAACAAGATGAAGCAGTTAAATCCTTATTTCAGTCTTACGGCAGCCTCTTCTGATGTAAGTACCTGAGACCTGAGGCCAGGGTGACCTAATTTAATCCCTTGATTCCATGATGGTCTGCAGGCCAAACCTGGCCTGATACCTGTTTTGGTGTTTTCATTTTTGTTTGATTTTTACACTAAGCGGCTGAAAAAAATGAAAAGGATAGTATTTCGTGACATGGAAATTACATGAGCTAGTTTTCCTGGGACTCAGCCACGCCCCTCACTTGGGTATCACCTCCGGCCGATTTCGTGCTGTAGCAGCGGGGCTGAGTCCACTGTCCTTTCAGGGGGAAAATCTGCTGGGCTCTGGATTGGAAGCTGTACCAGGGATTTAGTAACAATTTAAGGGAGAACAGGTTATGGTTGTTTATTAAAATATATAAATCAATTATAAGATGTCTCTTGATTTCAGAAATAGTAAATGTGAGAAGAAAAAAGTCTGTGAATCAAGAGAGATGGTGGT